GGAAATGCCTGCTCTCTAAAAGCATTAAGCCCTAATCCTGCAAACATGTATGCATGTGCATAATTTTACTCACCTGAGCAAAGTTGCACGTATGTGGCATGCATTACTTGTAGTAACGTGGTTATAGCTCTTTTGGATAAAGACTCCATTTTGTGAGTGATAACTCTAGGACAGATACAGAGAGAATCAATTGCTTTTGGGACAAAAAGGACCAGAGCCTGTGACAGACTGGAAGTACAGTGCAGTAAGCAGAACTGCTAGGTCTCATCCTGTACCCAGCTAGATTAATGTGTACCTTTGCAGTCATTCATTACTCCTAGATTTTTGCCTTTCCTGTCCTTTGTGGGAAATGGCAATCAGGGTTCAAGACCATATGGAGATAGCAAGAGCTAAATGAGATGGAATAAAAGTAGGTACACCCAACAAAAATGCTGCCTGGAAAAATAAGAGAAAATCCACTTAGGGAATCTATATTTGGGCACGAGTGACAAGTAGATGGAAGAGAAACTAAGAGGGATAAGAAGAGAGAGGTACAGGTTTCCCTCGATTTATGCAGGTTCTTTGTATGCAAATTCGCATGATATGATAAGCAAATTTAGACCCATGCAAGGTAAATTCGCTCTTATGTGATCAGCATAGATGCCCCGCCCAAGCAGGTAAGTCTGTGGGGGAAGTGGAAAGGGCTGTAACTCCACTCACCCCAGCCCTGGCTGCAGCGGCCCCGGGAGCAGCCAACGCCAGCAGCCTGCAGCCGCTGGGCTGCACTATGCTCTGCCTGTGCCCTAGCTCCTGGGCTGCACTGTGCCTTGGTGCAGGCAGTTGGTGTCAGCTGCTCCCGGGGCTGCTTCAGCCCGGGCTAGGGTGCGTGCAGACAAGTGGAGCCCTAGGCGTCATGGAGCGTAGCACTCACCCCAGTCCCGGCTGCAGCAGCCCCAGAATCAGCCAACACTAGCTGCCTGCACCACAGCACGTTGCAACCAGGAGTAGAGGTGAGTGGGGAGAGGCAGCTGGCGCCAGCCACTCCCGGGGCCGCTGCAGCCAGGGCTGGGGTGAGTGCCACTCTGTTCCCTCTGCTTTGCTGCCTTGTGCAGCCCCGGGAGCGGCACCCCTCCCCCTGCCCCTTCCCTACTCCCAGCCTCACTCCCTCCCTCACCACTATGGGAACCTATCCCTATTTGTTACATTGTAAAGTGGGTTCATTTTCTGCAAATTTGATTTATGCACCGTTCTCCGGGAACACATGTACAGTATAAATCAAGGGAAACCTGTATATAGGGGGAGAGAGAGAGAAATGCAGAAATGCCTGTGCAAACACATTTAAACTCAGGACAAACAATCCTCACAGCTGTTGCTTCTCACCACCTTTCTTTTGTTCAAGCCTATTCTCTAATAATGTATTGAGGTGACAAGCATGCAGTTTGTCACCCACCTTAGCTCATTAAAGTAGATGTCATGGGTACAGTACTGTATTATTAGCAGACAAAGACTCTGCTTTAGCACAGGTGACCAAGAAGTGTGCTTACAAAGTAGGAGGATGTAGGGTCTATCGCTGTTATACATTACTGCATAATAAATGTGCAATGTGCCACATGTGCAAGAGATTTATGGTATATTTAAATGATGCATTTGTATCAGGCTGTAATTTGTACCTGTGGCATGCCTGTCCAAATGGCTATGCATGCAACTGGGCTGTACACATAGTTTTTAAATGTCCCAGAGTGCTGGAAAGTTGAAATCAGGGCAAGGCTCTTAAAACCTGGGGTCCTAGCACCCTGGCACTTTAGAAAACTTTGTGTGCAGCTGGGCTGTTGACAACCTGGGACCTGGGAGAGGGCTCCCAGCACCTTAAGACTTCCAGTCTTAAGCTCCCAGCACCTTGGGACTTCCAACAACTGCATGCATGGGTTTTAAAAGTCCTGGGGTGCTGATAGCCCAAGACTGAGGAACCTTTCCCCAGTTCTGGCACCACAACACCCTGGGACCTTTAAAAGCCACACTGCATCTGAACTTGCTGAGTGGGGGAATGGTGGAGGGGGCAGACAATTGACTCCTCTCACTTAACTGATGGGCTGTACTGTGCATGGCTTTCAACTTGCCAGGATGTGCAATTGTTGGGATCTGGGATCAGATCCCATTGTGCCATTAAATGAATGTCTTCCAGCACCCTCAGTGGCCAAATTCTTTGGTATAGTGACAGCCATCAAACCCTTAGCAACCACAGATTCATTATGGTAATATGCACTTCTCTAGCATCTTTCATTTGAGCTTGAACCTGTCCTCCGTGAGATGTAATGCATTTAGCTTCACAGCAACCCTGCAAGGTGCTCCATTTTCATTTATTATAAAGACGGGGAATCTGAGGTACAGGGCCACACAGTGAACTTAGAAGCAGAACCAGGAAGATGATTTGGAGTTCCAGCTGCCAGTTCCTGCAGCCTCAAAATTATTCCATCGCTGTCATGAAGCCAGGACTTCAAACACAATGATGAAAAGCAAACCATTGCCCTACCTCACCATCTTCTTTTGAAAAACTAAAAAAGACAAATATTGCACAGGCAGTTTTCATAGAATTGTGAATTTTGAGGCTAGATGAGGCAATTCTGATGATCTTTTCTGATCTTCTACAGACCACAGAAATCCACTGAATCATTTTTATATCACACCCATAATTTCTGGTTGAAGAAGGTGTATCTTTTTAAAAACATACCTGGTTCTAATTTAAAGAATTCAAGGATGGAGTGTCTGCTACAACCTTTGGCAAGTTGCTTCAGTGCTTAATAACCCCTGCATTTATAAATGTACTTTAGTTTCAGTCCAAATTTGTCTGACTTCAGTTTTCAGCCATTGGAGCTGATGATGTCTTATGTAACGAAAAAGCCGTCTACTCTTCTCCCGTTTATGGGAGTTGGGCTCAGATTCTTATAGGTCTTTGTTCACTCATTTGTCTCTTTATACTTGTAAGTCTAACATTTAGACAGCACTGATATCATTGTGACCCTCTGCTCATCTGCTGTTTAACACATACCCCAGTGGTTCCCAACCTTTTTATGCTGCAACCCTAAATTGGCCACCAACAGGACTTCCCAACCCAGCACTGCGGGGGCTGCTGGGAGCGGAGTGCAGCTCAGGGGCAGGAGCACGGAAGTCACCGTTGCTCCCTTTGTGTATGGCAGTCCTTCCCCACCTGCTGCTCCTGGGCCGCGTGCATGAGTGTGCATGTGCAGGTATGTGTAGGCCCTTCGTGACCCTATTGAGGATCCCCTGTGTCCCTGATTTGGGTCGCGCCCCGAGGCTGGGAACCAATGACCTACACAACGCCTAATTGATTTCACCTCTCAGTTAATGATTTGCTTGTAGCTCTGCTGTTCTAGTCAAAGCTTTGAAATAGGTTTCTCACACCTTTAGGCATGCTCTGATCACACCAAAACCAAGTGACAGCCCACCACACAGGGAGTGCTGGTGAGACCTGTCTGTCTCCTGGTGGTTAGGGTGCTCCCTAGTGAGGTGGGAGACCTGAGTCCAAATCAGGCAGAGAATTCAGTGTCCCACATCACAAGACTATTTGCTGTTTGTGGGGGGTTCCCCCACCCCTTTCCCTCATGTTTTTTTTACGGATAAGAAAAATCAGCTGTGGTCAATTATGTAGCTGATCTGACTAAACTCTGGGGTGGAGGGGAGGCGTTTGCCAGAGATTGTCACTCAAGCCTCACCTTTTTCCTTTTCATTTCACCCCTGGGTAAGACTTAGGTAGGTTTTGGGAATACTTCCTTAGGCCTAACTCTTCCCATGCATTGTGAACCTGAGAACCTGATGCAGATTAGACAACTCCACCAGCCAGCAGGGTGCTTAGGCAGCCATTGCATCCCACTGCTTATACATCCAAGAATTAGACCAGAAACTCTTGGGCAATTGATTATCTAACATGACCCATGAGACCCTTTCAGAGTCACAGCTCCAAGATAGATTCTACCCTAACTAATCATTAGTTGTTAATAATTAACCATCTTTAAGAGGCACCATCAACATTGAAAGTCAGAGTTCTGTCGCTCGGGCTTTTCTGCTTCTTGTTATAAACTAGCATGATTAAGAAGACCGAAGGACGTTAGAGAACAAGGTTGCATTCATCCAGGGTTTTGCCTTTAGAATTTTTTTTTTTATACATTGGATAGCACTTTGTGTATAGTCAGTGTCACTGGTGATATGTTACTTCCTGGAAGTTAAAATAGTGTGTATAGTCTTAAGAGCAGCAACAGAGACAAAAATGAATGAAGGGGGTAGAAAAAGTAAGTAGAGAAGGACAGGAGGAGACATCATGTGTGTGGTGGAGGTCTTAACCCCATCTGTGGCAAACACTTACAAACAAATTTAGGATGCACAGAGGAGCCTTTCATCTGTCTTCCTTTTCAGTGTCTGAGTGATACCTCAGCTCTAAAGTGCTGCATCCTTTCAGCCAGTGCATTGTCCATAAGCAATTACATAGGACACTCAGAATATAGCCGTGTTGCCAGCTCTTTGTAGTTTCTCAATATCTGGTGCTTTTCCTAGAGTCATGACTTCAGGTTTCATTAAGGAAAAAGAGTAAAACATCTAGCCCTCATGATTGCAGAGAAAAATGTGAAACCAACAGGCCCCTACATTTTTTAAGATAAGCTTATGATCTTTAGAGAACCTGACATACGGCTTTTGCAATGCTTTTGCAGGCTGCTGAAATAAAAAAAAATGATACCCTAAAGATGGAATAAGGACAAGAGCAAACAAACTCAGAGAGAGGTTGTGGAAGCACTGGGATTGTCATGTTCTGTAACTTGGATGCAGATGCAGAAAAGACACACCTGGGGGGACAAAAGAGCTCCAGCATTCTGAAAATGTCCTGATTGCTGGCAGCCTCCCTAGCACTGAATGCAAATTAGCCATGCTAGAGCACTGCGGCCATCAGAAATGTTTGCCTTGAAGTGGGAAAGCAACCAAGTCTGAGCACTGAACTTTCCTCCTTCACTCTACGTTTTGTTCCACCCCTTTTTCCCATCACCCTCCAAACAGCCCCTATTTCCTCCCTTTCTTTTTGGAAGAGAAACTGTCTGAGGAGGAGTACCTCCTTCTCAATTTAACTCTTTGACTATGGTACTCTTTTCCTCCCTGACCCCAGTCTTCATAGCAGCGATATGTGTTTTGATTGGGATGATTCTGAAAAGCACAAGGAAAAGCAGCAAGAAAGAAAAGAGTGATACTAAAAATAAGCCAGAATCTCGCCCATGGGTGGATGAAGACTTAAGAGACAGCACTGACCTTCATGTAGAAGAAGACGGTGAGGAAAACAGAAATCAGCATACCACTTTTCCTGTCTGAATTTTCTGTTGATATGAATAAGGGAGACATGATCCTCTGGACTACTGAGTATGCACACAGGTCTGCAGCACTTTCTTTAGCATGGCAGAGGTCATGCATTTCTGCTTCTGGCAGAGAAAGTGACAGTAGTAAGGACTATTTAACCCAATTAGCTTTAAAAAAGTAACGGGGGGGGGGTGTCTAATTGTTTAACCCTGTAGCAAAACCTGTGAGAGGGAGTTATAGAGGAGAAAATGAATATTAATTCCCACTGTGGAGTTCTCCCATTCTTTATACTGACAAGTGGGGTTTTACCTCCTGTTGAACAGGACTTTTGGATACTTCTCTGCTTACTACTTCTCTGCTTACTCAAAGTGGGGTGGGGTGTCTCTACTGTGGAAGCAGGATGTAGGGCTGTAACAAGTTCTCAGTGTATATTTCTATTCTGAGCTCTGAAGAACACACATTTCCTTGTACCATCAATACCCCTTTTCCCCTCTTGAGCCCCTGATGGGTAGGAAACCCAACATCAGATATGGAGAAAGGAGGGGTTCTACAAAAGCATATGGGTTTCCATCACCATAGAAATCTTGGGGACATGATTTTATCTGATTTTGTATGCTCTGAAATTATACATTGCTCATTATACTTTTATCCTCCTCATTGCTATCATTGGTACAATGTGTTTGTCTTACCTGCCAGCTCATTTCCATTAACTGTCTGTCAGTGTGTAAAGTATATGTATTTTTCCTTCAGTTACAATAACTGGCTCAGACCTGCAGTCCTCAGCTGTGCATATGCTGATAACCATGGGGCCTTTAACTGTTTCAGTACTATGGGATTGAGCTCTATTTGGAGCTCAATCTAGGGTCAAATTTTCAACGAATAAATAAGAACCTAACTCGCAGGGTCTCTGTCCTTGCATGAAGTCTCAAGGCTGCACGAGTAGATGGGATATAAGTGTGTATGTGCACAAAAGGCACAGTCCTTTGTGCTCTTAGAATATGCAGTTTCTCCTGTTTTTTTTGTAAAGCAAAGCTGCAGAATTTTGTAATCCCTTGAGATAAAGAAGGGCTTTTTTCAATTCTCATTTAATGTAACCACCTTTCTTGACCAAATCATTTTTAAGTTTTATGCATAGGTTTGCATACCCACCCCACAGCCAGGTTTTCTAGCTCATATAACACTTCAGCCTGCTTTCTGCTTCTGCACATGCTACTAATCAACATTTAATTTTTACTTCACTTTGGGCCAGGTTCTACTTCTACTTATTCCCCACCAGCTGGGGGCTTGTGGCTAGCTGCCGCCCCCCTGCAGCTCTTTCCAAGCCCCCTGCCCCCTGATTGGGGAGCCAGGGCTGGGAACTTCCTGCTGCCAAGATAGAGGGACCTGGTCCCTGCCTGGGCACTGCCACTGGAGCCTGCCCTGGGCAGCAGGCAACTCCCAGGGGCAGGGAGCTGTCTCCCAGTCTGCTCCAGGAGACAGCTGTCTCCTGACCCCGTGCTTCCTGCCAACCCCTGGGCTGGCTACTGCGGGGGACCAGTGTAGGGCTGGAGCGGGCAGGAGCAGACTGCTGCCAGTAGAACCAAATCTGCTTCCACATCTCTGCATGTGTACGTGCCTGTCCAGGGTGGGTTTACTCTGCCTACGAAATAGATCCTTTCCAGTAATCTTTGCACTCCTTCTTTATCTGCAGTGGGTGGCATGACTGTAATGGCTTTAACCCTTGCAGGATTTATGTGTACCCCTTTCTCAGAAAGTTTTTCTCCTATGTTATTTCTTTGACCCTGAATTTGCATTTTTGTTTGTTCAGTTTCAAACCTGTTCTGCGAGCTCTTTCTAGTTCTTTTCTTAGCTTCAGACCATGCTCTTCCACAGTATTTCCCCAAACTGATACATCATCAGTATAAACCATGGTTCCATCAAGACCTTCAAAAATGTGTTGCATTTTTCTGTGATATAGTTCAGATGCAGAACACAGTCCAAAGGGAAGCCTACAAAAGCAATACCTTCTTAAGGGTGTATTGACGGTATACAGTCTAGTGCTATCCTTTTCTAGGGGAACTTGCCAAAACCCAGAAGAGGTATCTAAAGTGGACAAATTTTTAGCTTCTGCCACATTGACAAAAACCTCTTCCCTGGTTGAAATGGGAAAACGTTCCCTTTTGATGTACCTGTTCATTTGCTTAGGATGGAGATACAATCTCAAGGCTCCATCTTTTTTTCTATTATGACCAGTAAGCAGTTGAATGCTCGACTTTTTCCTGTTATGTCCATGTTAACTAATCTATTTAATTCCTTTTTCAGTTTCTCCATTTCTTGGAGCATGTAAAGTAGGAGTATTTGGTTCTCTTAATTCTATCTTGTACACAGTTGGCAGTTTCCTGATGCCTGGAAACACAGTATAAAGCTGTTCTTCTAAGTTCTTGCTTTCTAATCCCTCAGTGGCATCCATTCTCTTAATCAAGCCTAGAGTTTTACACGTTTGCAGCCCAATAATTGGCATTAGCTTTCCTGGGACAGTTACAAACTGGATTTTTACTATATTACCCTTGTGTCTAACATGCAGTGCACAAACACCCTTGGTTGCAATCATGTTCCCATTATATGCTCTAAGTTTCACTTTCTTATTGTCATAGTAAAAAGGTTTAGTTTTCATTTCTTGAATAATGTATTCTGGTATTACATTGACCTGTGTTCCTGTATCTAATTTAAAAGTTACCACTAGTCCATTGGTGTCCAGGGTGATTGTCTAGTTCTCAGAAGAATTAACTTCTTCTTGCATTGTGCTAATGAGAAATTCTTCCTTTTCCTCGTTGCATAGAGCATGCATCTGCTGTTTCTTGTGTGTTGCATCCTGTTCCTTTCTGCAAACTCTTGCAAAGTGATTGAATCCTTTGCATTTGTTGTAGCACTTACCAAATGCAGGACGTTGCATGGGTTTGCAGTAACCACCACAGTATCTGCAACTGACCATTGTTTCTTCAAGCAATTTGCTTTGGCCTCTGCTTACCTGCTTTGTAGTAAAGTCCTCCTTTCTATATTGTTTGTGTGTTGCCTTAGGTTTTTGCAGTCTTGTAATCCTGTCCAGTTCATCTTGTTCTGTTTTTTTCCTCCAGTTTCTGTAGCCTGGCATTTGTTGTCTCAGCCGCTTGGCACATTCCAACTGCCTTTTCCAAACTAAGCTCAGGATCCTCTAGCAGTTGTTTCCTGAGGCTTGTATCCCTTATACCCAATACTGTTTGGTTTCTGATTATGGACTCCTTTAGGTCTCCAAAGTTTCGTGTGTGGCTCAGCAGTCTGAAGTCTTTGACAAACTCCTCTGTTGTCTCACATTCTCTCTGCTGTCTCATGAAAATTATATACTGTTCAAAGCTTTCATTTTGTTTGGGTATACAATATTCCTTAAACTTTTTTTATTATTGTGCCATAGCTTTTTTGTTCTGCTTCTGATTGTTGTGGGCTATTATAAAGAGAGAGAGCTTCTGTGCCATCTATATTTTAAAAAGTAGCTAGCTTGAGTGGCTTCTCTGCAGCTCCACTGGCCGTCATGCATATGGTGAAGCTGTGCTTTAAATTTCTTCCAGTTTTTTGCTGAATTGCTAGACGGGTTTAACTCCTCTGGAATTGTGAGATGCTCCATTTTTTTAATTTTTATTTTTTGGTCTTTCTTTGTATCCTACTTCTAGTACCATGTGTTGTTCTCAAAAGACCAAAGAGTCAAGCTTATAGAATGAGAAAGCTTGTTTGTACAGAGAGCAGTACCTTGCTTAGTTGCTCTGTTCCCTTCTACAATCCCTGGGCCAATGTAACACATAGACATACAAAGTTCTTTTGGGTAAACCTGATATTTTTTATTAGATCAACTCAAATAGTTGGAAAAATTCTTCTTAGCGAGCTTTTGGGCATAAGCACCTTTCATCAGACTAAGGAAGCATTTGCAGATTGTCTGTGCTCTTCCTAAATGAAGTGGTAAAGCAGCTAGAGGCCAGTACATATGAAAGAAAGACAGTCAGTTAAAATGTAAATTGAGGTGGTTACATAGGCTGTGGAAGGCTGGAGTTAGTGGGGCTCAGCCTCCCCCCTCAAATGCGGGGCAGCAGGTAGGGCTGCAGGGCAGCCTGGCCATGGGCTCTGGGTGGATGCAGCAGGGGTGGGAAGGAGCATGCACGCAGCCAGGATCACAACCCGGCATATGGTCACTGCCCAGCATGGCAGACAAGTATCAGTCTACTCTGTGAAGGGGAAGGGGCTTGGTGGGGAGGGGCAGATCAAGGGCCCCACAATGAGAGAGTGGGCAGAGGCATGGGCAGGGGCTGGAGTGAATAGGGGCCTGGTTGGGCCTGGTCGTGGGATGATCAGAGCCTAGGCAGCTCACCCAGGGATACAGAGGGGCTTCCACTGCTGTGTACACCCCAGCAGAGGCCCAGGGGGCATGTGCCCCTCCAATCTGTGCACAGGGCAGAGACGGGTGGCTGCTGCATGCTGGGCTTTGCACCCTGGTGCCACTGTCTCAGGAGCCATGCAATGTCGTGTGCCTTCTGCTGCTAGGCTGCGCCACACCCCCTGCCTGCCCAGTGGCAGGATACACATAGTATCCTTCAGCTCTCGAGGCAGCAGCAACATGGCACAGAGTCCAGTGCACAGCAGCTGCCCACCTCCATCCCATGCACAGATCTGGGGGGCACGTAGTCCCTGGCCTTCTGCCGGGATGTGCACAGCGGTGGGAACTCCCCTGCACCCCTGGACAAGCTGCCCAGGCTCCGATCATCCCATCCCATCCCATCCTGACAACCTGGTCTGGCTGGGACTCCACTCCCACCAGCCCCTGCCTTTGCCTCCACCCCACTCCCTCCCTCACCACGGGGGCCTTGATATGCTCCCCCACATGGCCCTTCCCCCTCCCCTTCCCCCACAGACTTACCTACTGGGGGGGTACACTTGCTCAGCCCCCCAAATAATTTTTTCTCCCTCTGTCTA